ATATCTCAAGATACAAAAATAAATAAATAAATAAATAAATAAAACCGCAAAAAATGTAATTATTTACAAAAAAAAGACCAACAAAACATTGGGAGTGTATATTATGCTCCTACCATTTATCATACTGCAAAGAAGTCACAGGAAAAACTAAACTATTAGTTATTATTATTAAACTGCAAATGTGAAGAAACGTGCAGCACGTCAAAAACTAAACTTAACGTGTGTGTGGGTGTGTGTGTGTGTGTGTATGTGTGTGTGTGGGGGGGTTTGACCACCCCACACCATCGCCAGCTGTGTTTAAGTTTAGTTTTAGAGATTAATATGTTTATAGATTTTTTTAATAGGGTTAGAGATTAATATTTTTGCTTTTTGTTTGTGAAACAAGGTCAGAGGAAGCTGGTTCTGGTTCGGTGGATTGGACCCAGTGTTACACCATACTCTGTGACCTTCAACAGTGCAACACTGCCCCCTAGGGTCATACGGTGGTCACATAATATGACGTGACTACGGATACTCAACGTTACATTTTTAACCTCGATAGATGTCCTAGCAATCAGTGTGTAGATTACTCGAGTACCCTGTTAATGCCATAATATATATATGTATATATGTATATGTATGTATGTATATTGCTGTTCGGGCCGCATTAAAGTTGACAGATGACAAGATAAAAAGTTTTAAAAAAAAATTCCGAGGTGAATAATATAGGTGTCTGCCTTTTTATGGGCAGTCCACAATAAAAGATCTTTGTAAAAGATCTTTGCTATAAGTATTGGAGTCAGCTCTGTGCAATGGATTTCTTAAAAAACTCTGTGAAAGTAATCATTTGATTTAAATTTACAACTGATTAATTTTAGGAGTCGATTTTATTTAACATGGCTGCTGCAGATAATCAACTTCAAAACACATGTGAACTGTACATACAGTATGTAAAAGAATGAGAACTGTACATGGTTCATATTTGTTGTGTTTGTTGAAAACTAAGAGCTAATAGATTTTGTGAGTTTGAGATTGCAATTGTACTAACAAGGTTTGATTAAATGACCACAACTACATCATTTCGCAACATAAAATGGTCTTAGTTTAAAACTCGTCATAAAAGTAGGTGAACAATTTATATCTTTTCAGGGCTATTTTGGATTTAGTTTTGTAGTTTAATACTTTGATTTTAAAAGTTGAGTCAATGATGTATTTTCCTTTGAAATTTTCAGTCAAACCAAAATTTGAAACACAAAGTTACGAACTTAAACCTTTTAACAGATGAGGTATAAATAATTCTTTAAAAATATTGCTCTCCAAGTCAGAATGACTCAAACAGATTGCTTTGTGTGTTTTCTCTGGATCGGACACTCCCCTCACACTGGATCACTTCCAACAGCACTGCAGGACATGTTCACACCCAGATGCAGAATATTTGCTTGTTTAATTTTTTTTAAACGCAGCAGATGCTCACCATGAAACCCAAGGAATTAACACCTTGCTGGGATTTGGTCCAGTTCCTCCTCACATTTTCCCTCACCGTTTATTTTTATTTATTTATTTAATTAATTTAAAACATAATTTCATATGTAATAATTCAAAACACAAGATGCACGAATAAAAGGGAGCAGAAAGATGGAAAAAAATCTTATCACACCGGCCCCTTATCTTCACAGAGTCAATTCATTATGCCGAGTAATATGTCAATTTAAACTCAAATCAAGCTTTTTTTATTTTAATTTTAATTTTTTTTTAAGATTTTGGGTTGAACTACCTCTAGCTTCTACATTTTTTTTTATAAGTTTTAAAGCTGAAAACATAAATTGAAAGGCCAGGTGGTAAAAACTGAACTATAAAGGATGATGATACCACAAGGGGGTCTAGATTAGCCAATACTCGTGTTTTGTTTGATAACCCAATAAAAGGCGCAGCCCGGAGACGAGGCAGTGTCTGAAACTGGCAGTAACTCTGAAAAATCAATGTTTAAACTTAAAGGCTGGAAGTGGTGCTAAAACTTGGAATGAAGTCATCGCCTTGAGCACAGTTTGAAGCTTTACCAATCGATTGCGCACCACATAAGCTGACTTTGGTGTAACTATCCAGGATGGTGCGTCATACAGTAATGTACATGAGCGGAGAGCGGTGGGGGCTGAAGTGTGCATAGCATCTTATTTGACCGTTGAAACTGCATCAGCCACCTCGTTCACATTCATTGTGAACGACAGCGGCAGAGAAAATTGTGTCTGCCTTTATTCTCAGGAGAAACACGTCTTGTGAATCTTGATGATCTTTTATGTTGTTGCTAAAATCTAGCTCAGATGCCTAATCAAAGCTGCACACTGCCAGCCTGTGACACTAGCGTCAACAATCTTGAAGAGATTTCTTGTTGGCTGGTGTCAACCTCCCCCCCCCCCCCCCCTGCTGATACCTGCTGCTGTTTGATGCTGGGCATGTCTCTGCAGCTGTACGCTCATCCATCACTGTAAGTGTGAATGGCGTGTTGGGACGCAGAGGAACAGAAGAAGGCTACTCCAGACCCTCCCTTCTCTCACTATGTACTTAGTAATCTGTGCCAACGTTGTTCCTTGGATGGAGAATGGGGACCTTGTGTCCTGAGCTTCCAGATGGGCAAACACAACTCAGCACACAACGCTCAGATTCTCAAATAGGATAGAGGTTAAAAACGAGGGGAAATAATCTAATACCTGGGGAGTCATTTTATTGAATGCTAGTGTAAAAAAAGTTTCAAATATTATTCTTTGAATACTAACTAATGCATGACTTACTGTACTTCTGTTTACTTTTGTTTTTATTTTCTTTTGCCTGCTGTCTTCTTCAGGGGTCGCCACAGCGAACTGTCACACAAAGACTTGGCAATAGTTTTTACGCCGGATGTCCTTCCTGACACAACCAAAGACCACCGCGCTACCACAGCCCTTTGTGTGGAGCAGAGAGCTGCTATCTAGGGTGCCCAGGGGAGCAGATGGGAGTTAAGGGCCTTGCTCAAGGGCCCTGAGTAGGACAAATGAGGTGTGAGTGCTTCAGCTTTACCACCCACATTTTGATGTTGTCAGTCCAGGGAGTTGAACCAGCAACTTTCAGATCACAGGCACACCTTCTCTAACCTCTGCGCCACCACTTCCCCTCACAAAACTCTGATATTTTGATATAAAACTGTATAAGAAGAAAGCTAAGACTAAACAAAAGGTTAAAGCTGCTACCAGTGGCTTATTAGTGTCTCCATGGCAACTATGCACCTACCTCATTTTAGGACAGACAGAAATGCACAGTAGAAGGTAAGCCTCAAAGAGTCGTGCAAAAACTGTAAATCACACTGACAAGAATCCTGACACGTACATTTTAGAAGTGTGATTACATGTCAAGTTTTTGAAGTACCATTGTTTTATGTAGGTGAGATGAAAAGGTAAAATGACCCTTCGCTTTAAGTTTTGAAAGTAATTTGGGAGAAAACCACAAGTTCTACAGCAGTGAGAGACACATTGGGTGGAGGAAGACAAAGACGCCTAAGTTTTGATGGATAAACTGTAAAAGAAATGCAACATTTCTGGGAGTACATCCATCCATCCATTATCTTTTACCCGCTTATTCCATTTTGGGTCACGGGTATCGCCAGTGCTCATGTCCAGCAATCACTGTGTAAGGGTACACCCTGGACAGGTCTCCAGTCCATCACAGAGACACATAGAGACAAACGAGACAAACAACCATTCACTCTCTCACTCACACCTAGGGACAATTAGAGTTACCAATCAGCCTAACATGCATGTTTTTGGTCTGTGGGAGGAAACTGCAGTACCCGGAGAAAACCCACGCATGCACAGAGAGAACATGTAAACCCCACCCAGAAAGGCCTCCAGACCAGGATTTGAACCGGGGACCTGCTCGCTGAGAGGCAGCAGCTCTACCAGTTGTGCCACCGTGCTGTCTATGGGAGTACAAAGATTTATTTTTGCAAAATCTTTGGAAGGTGTAGACAGCTCAAAGGGGCTGACTAAAAACAGTGTCACATGATTACACTCTAAGCTGAACATGCTGTGGTCAAACTGTCCAAAATACAACATTTTTAACTGCAACTGTGACATTTCAGTAAAAAATATTAAAGCCAGTCCGAGCAAACGATGTCTAGTTTTGAGACCCATTTAAACTTTGAATGTTTCTACAGTGAAGTGTGTCCGAGCTTTAGAGCTCCACATATTGTTGGGGATTTTAACATGAGTTTCATCAAAATCTTGTGAATATGTAAGTAATAGCCCCCCCCCCCCCCCCCCACACACACACACACACACACACACAAGTACTGTATCATCTTATCAAAATTTTGGAACTTTCTGGAGTGTTTATGGATAACTCACCGGCTTTGTTGACGACATGCATAAATGTTGCAGCTTTATGTTGCAAGGTCTTTTTTTGCATCTTTTGTACTGTTTTCTGGCCAGGAAATGGTGTGAGACATGATTTTTTTTTTTTACTTCCTCCATCCTCATGTTCTCTTTTTCTTATCTGCCTGTATGTTGTATGTAACAGGTCTCTCTTGTAAATGAGTCTTCGAGGCTCAATGAGACCTAATCTGTATAAAAAAAGGTCTAATAATAATAATAACAATAATAACAACAATAATAATACATTTTTAACTACTGTTATTTACACTGTGCAGTGTGCTGCTATGAAAAGTAATTGCACATTATTTCTAATCAAGCTTCAGTTTTTACATATATTTTGAATGGGGGATTTTTTCTCCAGCTGCAGGATTACTGGCAAACCAAAAGTCATGATGGAATTGAATGAGTACCTGCCAAATAGTCATAAATGTGCTTTAATGGGTATCTTTATTTATCAAGAGCATATCTGTAAAAATAATCACAAAATTACACAGAAATAATAAAACATTAAAATTTATTTATGTTCAGCACACTCTTAACATATCAACAACATGACACAATAAGGTCAGCTGACCAACAAATCAAGCCCGTCTGAAAAGAGAACAGTATAAATCCATCTCATTAACCACACAGTTTGGTTGCATCGTACTCTGTGTGGTTTGGATGTTTGGCACTGAAAGTTTGCAGGGCAGTAAGTATCCTGGTCACATCTGCACTGGACAATTTGAGTCTGTGGCGGAGCAGACAGGCGAACAGATCTACGTGCGGAGCCCCCGGAGGCGAGAGGCGGTTCACCCTGTAGCGCAGCTCCACCAGCTGAAGCAGGGCGGAGTCCTGAGATCCCTGAGTGTATGGGTAGTCTATCTGCAGAATTAGATCCTGGATTGCTTCAGGGTCAAAGTGCACACTGTACCCAAACAACTGCATGCTGTTCACTTTCATATAGCCACCGTTGTTGGGCGTCTCACTGTCTTCAGGAGGCTCGCGGTAAAGAGTCACATTCTTGGTGCTTCCTGACATTCCTGAGGAGTCCCTGATGTGACTCCGCAGGTAGAAATGAATGGTCTCAAAAAAGGTTTTCCATCTGTTTCCCAGGGTCAACGTCCAGTTGTAGCAGTCCAAAGGGATATCCAGCTTGGTCTGCTCCCAGTCAGGATATCCGTGCTGACCTATGGGCATGGGCCAGCTTTCTGAATGGCTACCACCAAAAGGATTGACAAACAGTGACAGTGTTGGCTCCAGACTGCTGTTTTTGCTGATGCAAAACTGCAAAGTGAGTCCAAGGAGCATGTGAACCCGGTTAGATTTGACCCGGTTACTTTTGAGGGTGAGCAACATTCTCTTCCTCCAGGAGGGATCAAACCAGGTGTTGACGCGCACGTCGTTGCTCACGAACACAGCCTGGAGAGTGATCCGTGCGTCCCGCCGCTGCAGCAGGTAGCGCAGCTCTAGATCCTGTAGGTCTCTGTCACTTTCCATTCCAAGGTAAGGATCCGTGGGGTCGGGCACAGCGGGCCGACAGGCTCCTTGAATCAGGGTGAAGCCCGGGTTACAGCTGGAACATCGAGTCTTATTCTCCAGCGAGCAGGAGGCACAGCGAGGACCATCCCCCACAAAGCAGGGGACGAGGCCCTGACAGGGCGGGTGATCGTAGGGGCAGGAGCAGCTGTGGCTCTTGTCACTGTAAATACCGACCTGCTTGTTCTCTCTGCAGTACAACATGGAGAGAGCGTGCCTCAACCAGAAGTGAAGGGGCCTGAAAGAAAGACAACACCACGTTCAGACACTACACTGATTTGTAAACGCTATAAAAAGTCACTTTATGATTATACAAAATTTTCATAAAGGTTTTTTAAAAGTAAAAAATAAAGACAAACCAAAACTCACATTGAGATGTAGGTCATACACAATCACATGAACGCATCACAACATTTAATAAATTTAATAAAGATTTAATCAATTTTAGCTTTTTTTTCCCAAACATGAAATGTGAAACATTAATGGATTCAGGAAATTGCTAAGTGAACAACATTTAACCATTCACATACTGATATTAGCATCAATATGTATAAAGATTGTATAGATACACACATTAGTGAACTGTCAGAGTAAGTATCAGAGAGGAAGAGATGCAATCAAATAAAGAAACTGAAGAATACATAACAACAAGTAACAACACCTTTAGCATGTTTTTATATACCTTAGTGTTCTGTCAACTGCCATGACAGAAATGTAGTATCTGAACCATACAAAGATGCTGAATTTTGAGCAGCCTGTTTGCATTAAAGCAACTGTATGGAAAAGTTTTGCATTGCCATTGAATATGGCAGCGGTGGGGATTGGGAAAGAAATGTAAAGAAAGCCAAAAGGTTCATAATTTACTCTCCTCAAAACATTTTCTTGAGTTCTATAAAAGCTGTCAGCAGCATTTAATAAGTATCCCTCATGTATGAAGGTCCAGTTAGGTCTTAAATGTGTAGTCTAGTGGTCGTCATGCCTGCTTCACATGCAGAATGTTCTTGGTTCTTTCTTATTAACACCCATAGTTAATGTTGGCTTAGGTTTCCTGAGCTATTCCTTAGTTATGTTAAATTAACTAATCTTATGTTTTGTTTTTTTGTCCTCTCAAATCTTAGTCAGATAAGGCAGATGGATACTCATCCCATATCTAATGGAGGTGTCTTACTGTTAAAAGAAACTTGTTCACAAATTTGTGTCAATCTGTGTTAGTGAGCGCTTCACATTTGCTGAGATAATCCATCCACCTCACAGGTGTGGCATATCAAGATGCTGATTAGACGGCATGAGTAGTGTACAGGTATGTCTTAGGCTGGCCACAATAAAAGGCCACAAAAATGTGCAGTTTATGTTGGATTGGATCATTTTCCTCAATAACTAAATGACCAAGTATAATATTTTTGTCTCATTTGTTTAACTGGATTCTCTTTTTCTACTTTTATGATTTGTGTGAAAATCTGATGATGTTGTAGGTCATTTTTATGCAGAAATATAGAAAAATGTAAAAGATTCACAAACTTTCAAGCACCACTGTAACTGTGTTTACAAATCAAGAGTTCACTATTTGTCCAGTAATGATGGCCACAACAAGACTAGATTATTTATTTCTACTGTAAACCTTTAGACATTTAAATTACTCACCAATATGTGAACATGTGCACAAACACACACACACGCAAGATTTTAATGAGTTTTTTTTAATAAATTTGTATATTGAAAATAATAGGAAAATATTTTTTCTAATACATGATGCTTGATGGTTGAATCAGTCAACAAAATGTTTATCCCTTTTATTCTGAGTGTGTTGCCAATGACATAAAAAAAAATTAAGCTACCGTATTTTTCGCTGTATAAGTTATGGGTTGTTGCATAATTTGCATTCTCTGCGACTTATACACAGAAGAGACTTATTTATGTTTTTTTTTACCATATTTATAAACCAATTTTTGACTGAGATATGACTGTTTTCATTCATTCTGACTGAAAATATTGATCAATACCATTTTCAGCCACTAGATGACACTCGAGTAGTATGGCATGCTGTTGTATCATGTAATATGTAAAAATGGTTACTAATTACACAATCGGCTTGCCATAACCTGCTAACGTTGTCTGCCTGTAGCAACCGTCAAATCAGCTTCATTTCGCTGCGTTGCCCCGGCAAAATGCAGCTAGTTTGACCATTGAAATGTATTTATTAAGTAAAAGTTAACTGACACACTTTTACTATAAAGTCAAGAAAACAAATATTGTTTTAGGTGATTATCTTATTATATTTCGAAGTAATAGACAGCAAGTCGCCCTCTGCACGTTCATGTTTCCGAATACTGGCTTTTGAAAATGCAGCTGATTTGACTGTCAAAGTGCATATATTAAGCAAAAGTTAGACTGAGACACACCTTTGCTATAATTTTGAGCAAACAAATAATTATTTTTAAATGTTAATCTTGTTAAATTCTTATTAAAGTCCTCTCATGCACACACCCGCGGCCATCATTTGGCAGCCAATTGATTTTTGGTACAACACCGGTTCACATGTCCGGGTTGTCAGCGGTGGCACGTTAACAAACACTTTGCGTCAGTGGTGATGCATAATATATGTGACTTATACAGCAAATCGACTTATTTATGTTTTTTTCCCCCCACTTTATTAGACATACTGTATTTGTACTGATGCGACTTATAGGGCGGTGCGACGTTTACGGCAGAAAATATGGTAACTTTGCATTACTGTGACTTTGCATAGTTTGTGCTATCAGAAAAATTCCAGTGTTTGGAAAATGTCTTATGAAATGCAGGACGTTTGGGTGTCCCTAAGCTTCAGATGTGAGACGGAGGACAGGGTGCAAAATCTGGGACTGTTCGCCCAAATCAGGATGGTTGAAAACACTTTTTTTTTTAAATCTATTTTTCATTTTTACAGATGCCAGAAGTATCGTCGTTGAGATTGAGAACTTTAATTCATGTCTATTTCACTTGGTTGTCCACCGAACAACCTCGAGGCGAGATCCGGTAGTCTGAGACGAAAATACAGTAGGTTGTCTCGGATAACCGCGTATGTTCACCCTTATTTGTGATATGAGTTTTAGGTTTAGGCCAAATTAATTAACAAGCACTTCTTTTTGAAGGTTAATAAACTGTTTGATTGACTCATAGCCCATAGAACACTGTTTATAGTTCAAACTGGATGAAAAAACAACTGTTTTTAAAAAAATTACTACTTGAGACATTCAATTACCAACTGGAAAAAAAAAGACTAGTTAAGAAAATTAATTTGCAGCTGAGAAATCCTAAGTTGTTGTACATGACGCCATGTCAGAATTTCTCCACAAGAATCAAATGTGTCTGTTCCTGTTTATGAAGTTATTGTCTGTTTAATATGAGACCCCTAACATTTAGCATTTGTCTTTCTTGTACTGAACGTGCACTGAACTGTGACCTCAACTCCAAAGCAAGCAGTGACGTGTGTATTACCAGTACATGCCTAATAAACAGCAAATGTGACCAGTATGTAGAACATGAAATGAATCACAATTCTCTTTGAAGTCAGAGAAACTGATTACAGAGGTGCAGTTGAGGGCAGATCATGCATTTGAGTAGCATGATGATTAATTTGGTTATTTAGCTAATTTCCCTTCCAAAAATAGCTTTCAGTATTAAGCATTGATAAGAGAGCCATCAATCCCACTCAAATGGAGCATCCGGATGGGAGTGCGACTGAAGTAACACAAACGCTTTGGGAACAGATAAGAAACGCTCATCTCTGTCAGCAGCAGCTTAAACTTCTAGACGTGTTTTCAGGACACATGAAAAAGTGAACAATGAGGAATGCGAGAATGCTGAGATTGTTGGAATTCAGAGGAAACCTGCAGATGGTAAAAAGGCCAGATTTGATCCACTTTGTCTCATGGATGGAACAGAGGAGCAGCTCTGCCCCTCTCAGCACTTTCTCCTCTCTACACAGCTACTTTTCCTCAAGTGCCTTTTTAATAAGCACCGTCTTGCTCTGTTGCTTTCTCTCTTCGCTATGCTGCAAAAACCGTCCTCATAATTATGGGTTCTGGGCAGCACCTTGGGTTAACATGCATATTCCTCCCTGTTGTTGTAGTCCCACATCCTTACCTCAGCCTCGGCAGGATAATCTTCGGCTGCTTTCGGCACCTCTTGCTAAGGCTGAAGAGCTTGTTAGTTGCACGGCGAGCTTTGTTGAAAAGCTGCATGCTGCTGGTCTCCAGCTGCCTGTAGCGCTGAAGCAGGACAGCATCCGCCCTCCACAAGTGCTCCACGACAGATGTGTTCACAGCATAATGGGCTGGCAGTTTCCCAATGAATCTTTGGAATTCCTCTGGTAACAAGGAGAAAAAGGACAATAAAAGAAATTGAAGACTAAAGTCCACTTGAAGCTGCAAACTGAAGGAATATAGCAACATCCACAATACTGTTTTGTTGGTCTAAGAAAATTAAACAGCTGAAGAACCTACCATGGATAATTTTAGCTTTGTTTAAAGAAAATATGTGTACATGTTTTAATTTTCTTTATGTGGAGATTTGCTGATCTAGTCAGAAAAAGAGCAAATTTTTCATTTGTTCCTCTGCAAAAATATATTGTGTATTCACTGTTCAAGTGTCGTCAGAGCAACCAGTCTCTGATTAAACATGCAAAACACTGAAATACACACATTGTATGTTTTCTATAGTGATATTAAACTGAAGCCCATACTGTCCAAAATTAACCTTGAGACAGTAATACATGCGTTCATAATAGCCAGGCTCGATTACTGCAATGCTTCTGTTTGGAATCAATCAGACCTCCATTGCACATTTACAACTGGTCCAAAATGCTGCATCCCGTTTTTTTAACTGGTACAGGCAAAAGAAAGCACATTACGCCAGTTTGGCCTCCCTTCATTGGCTCCCAGTTCACTTTCGAATTCATTTTAAAATCCTTCTGTATGTTTTTAAATCACTGAACAGTTATGCTCCCTTTTATGTAGCTGATCTGCTGCAGCCATATGTCCCACAGCGCTCTCTGAGGTCAGTGAATCAGATGCTTCTTTCGGTTCCAGGAACCCGATGTAAGCTCAGCGGTGACAGGGCTTTCTCTGTTGAAGGTCCAAAACTGAGTTACCACTGTATGTCAGGCATGCCCCCTCTCTCAACCATTTTTATTCCCTAGCTTTTGACACAGTGTGATTTGTTCTTAACCTGTCTATATTCTACAATGTTAGCCATTTAGTTATTGTCTTCCATTCATATCTATATTTTTATTTTACTTTATTTTTTGCTGTGTGCTTTGCTTGTTTGTTCTGCTGTACAGCACTTTGGTTGGCCTTGTTGCTGTTTTAAGCGCTCTATAACTAACTTGGTTTGGTATGGTATGGTGTGGTATTCATTCAACCTTTATTTAGACAGATAAATCACATTGAGCCTAGAAGACTCATTTACAAGTGAGATCTGTCTAGGCAGACAAAAAGTAGTGAAACTGGACACATGTAGGAATTGGAGACGAAAAATTCCAAACAGACTTTTTCTTCTTGGCTGAGAAGAAAAACTTGAATGTAAAAAAAACACACCTCACACAAACAAGCACATAGTGACCCAGACATTTTGCAGAGAGGGGAGACAACGAGAGCGGTGAACAATGTCCTTGGACGCTCTCGAAGACATTGCAAGTGTTCTAATAAGGATGGTACAATCAGCCAGTTTGAAGGTCAGATTACATGTTCTCCAGGCATATTCAGATAAGGTGGCCTTCAAGGCCAGCCAGGGGAGCCAAATTCAGATAAACACACAGTTGTTTTGGGGACAGGCAGAACTTAATGACATCTACCTTGGGTCTGTGTTGGTCCAAACGGTTCCAAAATTTCCAAATTACATGGCCACACCAATGGAACGTGCCTGAGTAAAATCTCCAAGATCTGATCCATTCTGCCCAAAGCATTTGAGTCTGGGTACTCGAGGCACAAACCAAGCCATCATAAAGGCAAGCAGCGTGATCGGGTCCAAATTTGCTGCCGACAACTTCCTTGATCGATTGATGAAACCAGCAACCAGCCGAATCCAAAAAGTAGGAACCAGTTATTGAAAATCCAATTAAATATGCGTCCTTAAAATCCACAAATGGCAGCCGAGATAGACACATCATCAAGTCTTCCAAGTCGATGAGATATCCAGCTGCATGCGTGCCAACAGGGCAAATCGGCTCGCCTAAAGCCTGTCTTCTCTTTGAAGAAATGTTGTAAATTGAGTTGAGGGACCAACTGATCAAATCCAAGTCCATAATTATGGTTCAGAAGAAATGCAAGAGAGGCTCAGAAGCAGTTTCACAGACAGACAGAGCAGCAAAGCAAAGTGGAGAGGGAGGGGAGGGGGAAAGCGTCCGACCTCGACAAGAGCAAGTGGTGAAGGTATGGTATGGTATATTAAAGCAGTGCAGGTTGTAATGAGCAGAAACTTGTGCCATCAGAAACTGAATTTGAATTGCTGTTTTGAAGTGAAATTCAGTTTCAAAACAGCAATTCAAATTCAGTTTGCGATGGCACAATTTTCTGCCCATAGGTTGCCATGAAATGCAATAATTACTTCTGTCAAACTAAGAAATTAACATGATTAAAAAAGTTAAATATTTTTGTCTGAAGTCAGAGACAACCTTATCAGTGGGAAACATAATTTGCATACAAAGTTGCGTGTTACAATTTAAAATTCATCTGATGGCCATTAAGAAGTGGGGTTCTGTGGAAATGTGAATTTTTGTGTTAATAATGGCTAGTTTAGGAGACCTACTGTAAAAAGTTGCTGCTACACTAAAACAGATTTATTTTTACCAATTTCACAGAAGTTTATGCACATTCTAATTCAATTGTTTTTATCTTTCAGTTTTTCATTAACCAGTTGTTTTTGAAAAATTATAAAGGAATTGTAATCACTATTGACCTTGACTGGGGTGTAGATTTCTATAAAAGTATTGTTATACAGTTTGAGACTATAGCTATTTTTAAACTGAACCAGTCCATTTAAGTCTTAGTTTCATTCACACTAGATATAAACTCGACAGTTCTCTCTGAATTAAACCCCAAAGTGAGCTTGTTTAACGAGCTATCTACAACAGTTAAGATATTTTTTATTCATAACTTGCACAAAACTCCAATTCAAAATGGCTGGAATATTCCTTTAAGATTGATCCACACGATTGATTAAAATGTGCCTTTAGTCAAAGAATGCTGTCCAATTTAACAAGGTTGGGTCAGGTCCTCTAGACGGATTCTTTTTTGGTGAAACTTTTCGTTTTTATCAAAAATAATTATTTAGTCAGACTGAAGAAGTCATTTGGATAAAAGTTTCAGCAAAGAAGAATCTGTTCAGAGGACCTGACCCAACCTTGTTAAATTTATCTACCTGGATTATTGAGCATACATCAGGACAATACTGTTTAATGCTTTGCAAATGTCATTTTATTATATTTTTTAAGTTTCCATATTTTCCTTTTATCATCTTAATAAAGTGCCACATGGATGGTTGAAGAAAAAGTTTATGATACATTTAAACATGTCAAAGAAGCTAAACAACTTTTCTTTCTGACAGACATGCTAAAGGATAATGAGGTACAAATTATATTAGGCTATATGTTCTTGAAGTAAGAGCAGATAGTTTTATGTCCACCAGTGGACCACGAAGCAGAGAAACTAATGTTTAGTTACCCACAAGACAAGGAATCCCTCACAGTTAAAACCAGGGGTATGTTGAATTCCCCTGTCGCTGAGAGATATGAATAATGAATGATTGTAGTTTTGAGATGAGTATTTTTCTGTACTGTAAATGAACAGAGAATGCAAGTTAACCTAAATGTTCCTAGTGCAAGGTATTCAAGCGTACTGGATAGGAGTTATAGAGTGTACAAAAAAGAGGTAATATTTTGGTTTTTGCTGGTCCAAGGAATCACAGAGTGACAAAATCTGGAAAGTGGAGAGATCGATTTTATCCTTCACATGCAAAGGCGGCGTCAAGAGGTGGCCCAAAGGGGCCTTGGCCACCGAAGAATATTCTACTGCTAAATTGTTTGAGGGAATTTTAGGACATATAAAAACTAGAAAACATAGTTTCCTCAATTGCTAGGGGTAGAGTACTTATTAATATGTGGTAGTGGTCATTTTAGATTTTGACATGTCAACCCAAATTTCAATAGCGAGTTTTTTTATGCCTAGATGCAGGCACACATAAAAATGGAAGTCCACACAACTACAAATTAAAAAACACAACAATGCAACCTGGGGTCGAATCCACAACAGATCTGTGACTTTTCATAAATATTTCGTAAAAAAACCCCAACCTTTTTTAAACATCCTGATGCATGCTCAATAATCCAGGTAGAAAATCTAAAAAAAAAACTAATTAAAAAAACCTTTCAGATATAAAAGGCACAGTTTTTGCCTGCAGCAGCAGCACAACGTGATGACATTACAGCGGCCGTGCAACACAATGACGTCACATGGACCTACCCGATCTCACGGCGGAGAGGAAGATTCAAAATGTCGGCGGTATGGACGTTTTTTTCGTTGGTGAGGATGTCAGATTCCGAAGGATTATGGACTACGTTGAGCCTCGCTACATCGTCCCCAGTCAGAGATATTTTTTCAACGTAACGTTACCCGAGTTACAAGCCGTCATTTCCTATGTCATTGAGAAGCTAATAGCCGATAGCACGACTTGTTGGGTGAGTTTTACCACAGACATTTGGACTTCGTGTTAGCCTCGTTAGCATGATTAGTCTTACGGCACAATGAATAGACAAAAACTTTGATCTTAAAAAGGCTGTCCTTCATGCACAGGAGTGCAGAGTATCCCACACTGCAGCTAGGAACCCGGAACAAGCCTCCACAAGTGAGACTAATGCTAATAAATAACATTTAACACTTTTCATTGAATATAAGTTAAAGGGTTATGCATATCATATACTGAATATATGTCACTAGCTTTTACAGCTGTTACACAATTTTTGTAGCAAATAAGCCTAAATAAGAGGGCTATGTTTTGACAAAGGAATATATATAAAATATCGGTATCGGCATCGGTTATCGGCCAAATAATTTTAAAATATCGGCATATCGGCCAAAAATCCAATATCGTGCATCCCTAATAATAATACATTGTTTTACCAATCTATTAAATAGTAAATTTATTTTCCTTTTTTAGAGAAAATCAACCAGGGCTGAGGGAGAATTTAAAGTCAATGTTCTATCTAGGTGTTTTTTTCATTTTAATTATTATTCTTTTCTGAAAGCATTATTCGAGCTGACATTTTCAAGTTCCATTTAAACCACAATGAATTTCTTACTCACCAGTTTCCTCAAATTCCTGGTTGGTCCGCCTTAAAGCATCTCTGACGAGCGTGAGGCTGATTTCCAGAGTGTCCAGGTCAGAGTGAGGACAGTTACACTGTGGGAAGTCCAGTCGACACTCACACCAGCAGTCATTGTTCCGACAGACAAACTGGCCTTCAGATTTACAGCCAATGTAGTTGAGCGCTGCCTGAATGAAACGGCTTTGTAAATAGGCTGGAAGGATAACCTGCAGCCCTGTGGTGTGACAAACAGAGAAAATATGGATGAAATATTATAATGTCCTCATTTACAAAACATGTAAAACAAAAAGAAACTGGTGATATTTTGTCTGTTTTTGTATATTATTAAACCAAAGCAATGAAACAAAAAGACACTTCCGCTTATGTTTTGAATTGCACAAAACAGCTTGATTATTGTGCGTATTGTCTACATTTATATTTACTGGCACATACATTCCGTTCAATGCAGTTTATTTATATATAAATATACTATAGTATAGTATATAATCCAAAGTACAATGGGAGGCAGATCTTTCAGTTATCAGTCTCCTCTCTTGTGGAACCAACTTCCAGTTGCTGTCCATGAGGCTGACACATTGTCCAGTTTGAAGACTGGGCTTAAGTGTTTCCTTTTTGATAAATCCTATAATTACAGTAATGTCTGCTTGGGTTTCCTGAGCTGTCCCTTAGTTATTCTGCTTAGACTTTGACTTCTGGAGGACAAATTGACCACATTTCGTCACTCTGCTGCTGTCTTTACTTACTCTGCTCTACCTGTTTGTATTTTTGTCTTTCTTCCAACAGAAAGTACACCTGGATCAGTCCTTTCATGTTTGATTTTCTCCTTCCTGCCCTCTCAAACCCCAGCTGGTCAAAGCAGATGGTTTCATCCTGATCCTGGTTCTACTGGAGGTTTCTTCCTGTCCACTGTTGTCTTTGGGCTTGCTTAGGATGGGAGACTGATGAAGTGAACATTCAATGCAATCCACTGACTTCCTTAGATAGATAACTTTTACTTGTTGGCTTTTATGATGTATGTAAATGTTTTTGTTCATTGCCCTGAGACAACTTCTGTTGTAACTTGGTGCTTTATAAATAAGCTGAAGTGAATTGAATGGTCTACTATTGCTACTGGAAGTAGATATGAAATCATTTGGACACATGGTGCATAGCTAAACATTCTCCAAAAACTTGTGTTTAGTTTAGTTTATACTCAGCAGTTTCCTTTCAGTACATCATGACGTGAACAACGTTTAATAATGAGAAGATCAGGATAAGATTAGGTAAATGTGGAAAAAAAATGTCTACAGTTCTTCCATTATTTTAGTTCAAGAGTGGCCATATGTGAAACAAGCTGTTTTTCTTTCATTCTTTTTATTTCTTCAAAGAAGCTCCATTTTCTAGTTCAAACAAAGACATCAAAACTTGAAATAAAATCTTCACTTTGAGACAAGATTCAATTTGTTTTGGTCTGTTTGTGTGGGTTATTGTCACCAAAACTGTTTCTGTTTGAATGAGAAACAGTAAAAAAAATCTGTTTTTAAAATGATCTGGAGCAGAACAGGGTCTTGATTTGTTCTGAAAGTGCTCCCCAGGGAAACAAAATAAAAAAAAAAGACAATATACTGTGTGACTAAGCTGTTTCATATATGACTGATATTTTTCAAGCAAAATGAAAAGATCAGAAATATGAACGATTTATATTTTCAGTATTAAAAAACTGTGTCTTCTGTAAAACAAGGGGAGGAGGGAGAGGCCCTGGAATTTATAGGCTGAGATGTTGTTTGCTTGGTTCAATAGAAAAATAAAATAAATAATAAAAATAAAAATGTCCAGAGTGGCCTTTAAAACAGTACATTGACCATTTGGAAAATAAGCCTCTTCAGTTACTTGCAGAGTTCAAGATTATTCTTAATGCAACGCTGTAAAAAAACAAAATGACCTGATGCAGACCGGATCACACGGTTTCAACAAACACTTTTTGAACACATACACCAGTAGTTAATCTGTGTTTGCAGCATCAAGCAAAAACTGATGCAAAATTACCATTTTAAATATGATCTATCTTTAAAATAATAATAATAATTTTTAAAGGATGATATGAGTTTTTAATGCTCTGACATGCACAATACACATTCCACAAGGTCAATGTCACCCACTGCTTTAGTTTGTCATTTGTCTGCACTTATTTGTGATGGATGCTTTGTGCAGTAAAGAGGTAATTAGAAGAAAAGATTGATGACAGTCATGTAGCTGTAGGTGAAATGTAAGACTAGCAGTAGGGTCAGTGAAAGGGCAAACCTCTCACCAGCACCTCTGATATCACTGGTTACCATTCACAATCCTGTTGATGGAAGCTGTGCAAACAGTAAAGGTAGTACAAATTAATAAATACAACACATTTGGTATAGATTGTCAGTCATCCAGGACATGACAACTGTCAGTTTCTTAAAATGTACTGGAATTTATTTTGCCCAGAAATACTGTCTTTGTTGACATGAGTCTTTAATGTTGCATGGAAGACATGGACAGCACTTGCAGAGTGGAAAATGGGAGTTGGTGACACCATTAAAATATGTGTGTGGGGGGGGTGTACGTTACAATGATTGAGTGATTACTGTACTCCAGCTCCTGCGCAAAGTTTACTTAAGTGTCTAACAAATGAAGTCCGGTCATCTGGATGGATTCAAAATGAAAACAAAAATTGTTGAAACCTTTATCCAAAAGACTTTGTTAATCTGACTTTACCTGAGTGTGTTAAAAAGAAACTTTGACTGACAGTCAAATCTCAGATTCTGGAGGAGAACTAAGGCTTTCGTTCAGCTTTGTTAACCAAGTAACTGGGGGCCTCATCCACATTAATGAGGATGATACTCTAGTCTGTTATGGTAACTGGCACTTGTTTAAATGGTAAATGGCAAATGGACTGTACTTGTATATTTTTTTCATTTTCATTTACCCTTTATTTATACAGGTAGTCTCATTGAGCCACAAGAACTCATCTTCAAGAGAGACCTGTTTAGGGAGCAGATGGTGGGGGTTAAGGGCCTTGCTCAGGGGCCCAGTGTGGGGCAAATGAGGGTGGAGGGAGGTGTGGGTGTTCCACCTTTTCCACCCACATTTTGATGTTGATGGCACCAGGAGTTGTACGACTTTCCGATCACAAGCCCATCTTCTAACCTCTGCGCCACCACTCCCCCATATATATATATATATATATATATATATATATATATATATATATGAATAAATAAATCAGAATCAGAATAAACTTTATTGGCATTGCACCGAGATACAATGACAATGTGTACGTACAGTCGTCCGAAAGATGGGCGGAGTGCACGAAGCTGCAGCTATAAATAGCGCAGCCCTTTTATTCTTATTCAGAATAATATTTTGCTTGGATGAGAAAAGGGAAAAAAAACATGAGGAGAGACGGTATAAAAAAAGATCTCTCATGCCGTGTCCTAGACAGGGCACGATTTGAGGAAAAAAAAAAAAAAAAAATATATATATATATATATATATATATATATCACCTTTCTAGCTTATCAAGATACTCAAAGAGCATTACAACACAATCTGTGCCCTTATTTACCCATACATACAGCACTTTATCACTACAAAGCTAATCTGAATCTGTAGAGCTTGATCAGTGCTTTAGATCACAGAGGTTAAAGAAAGTGAGCTTGTGATCAGAAGGTCGCAGGTTCAAATTCATAAACCCACATCTGCCTCCACCCTCATTTGCCCCCCTGTGGTCCTCTGAGCGTCCTCCAGCTGCTCCCTGGGCACCCTAGGTGCAGCCCCCTGCTCCACATGCTCACATGTGTAGGAATAAACAAAGTGTAAATATCCTTTCTGGCCTGGGATCCCTGTGGAATACCTTCGGAGCAGTTGTGAAGTTTTGCTGTGGGAGAAGGTCTGGGTTTCCCACCTGGACCATTCTCTCAGCAACCTCACTTTGTAAATTAACCAATAATGTGAATTGTGGTTGAATGGACATATGAATGCACGTCAGTTCAAACCTTTTGAATAGGAGGTGAAATGTCTTTAACATAACTGAGAAACGAAGAAAGAAATTCAGTTGCCTCTGTTGAACTTGTGTGTTAGCAGTTAGATGCATTTATGCTGATACAGTATGTTGTTTACCTTGTAGCTGAACCTTGTTTTCTGGACTGTGCACTAAAACAGAGCTGACTGTGTCCAGATTGTCATAGTTGCTGCACCCAAGAGGACCAGTTCTTGTTTCAGTCACCTGAAAGAACACACAGAGAACACACACAGACATTTGATGACTTTTGTTTGGTTGGTCATTTCAGTATTGTGAGCTTTGTTAACGGACTTATGCTACGTTTGCATTTTCCTGTAAAGAAATTCAAAAGAACATAAAAACTCATGAGACGCATTTTTTTTCCTCAAAAGAAATTGAAATACAATTTTTTTCAAATTAATATAGAAAAACTAATTATGGTGTTTTCTCTCTTCAGACAGAATGATCTTTGTGACCAAATGTCACAAGATGCTGTTTTTAACACAAGCAAGTTTTGACATTAAACCCTGAAACTCATAAACCCACAACTTTTTATTAGCGAATGTGTTTTTGTTCAGAACTCTTCTTAATTCTCCCTGAATCCTGAGTAGCTGTTTACTGTGATTTTATTGAACTGCCATGTATTACAGATGCTGCTTTACATCCCTCATAAAATATCCATCTTTCTCCTCCCACTTTCATTCTCACTGATATTCAATCTGCCTGAACTCCCTGGTCACTGCAAAGTGGCAAATGAATGAAAATCAGTCTGGCTGGAAATAAATGGAATGGTATCTTTAATCCATCAAACTGATGCATAACCAGACTAACACGTTCTCATTTTAGGAGAGGCACTTGTCTTCATCAGTGGACGTTCACTTTAGCATCTACATTTGCCCCTCAGGCTGATTAATGCTCGTGGTCTAATAGCCACTATAGATGATAAAATGGATGATTGGTGTTTTACATGAGAGGATGCACAACTGCTGCTCCATTCTACCTCTTCTGTCTCCTATTTACAGCTTGCTACAGGACAAGCAATGTGTCTGCTGCTATAAATTCGAGTTTATTAATTTGCTTTGTGTTAACTCAAAGATGGCATTATAAGATTCTGATTCAAATCAATCAATCCTTTATCTTTCTGCCTACTCTGGGTTTTTGTGAGAATGAACTGCATTAAAGAGGAGAGTAGGGAGAAACAGATTTGACAGAGCTGATGAACGCCCTGCAGTCACGGGAGGTGCGACTGCCTGGCCAATTCTGTAAATAAGCATTTGAACTTAATCTAACTGATTAAATTAACTACAGAGAGAAAGTCCCTGAGCAGGTATTAAAGGATTTGGGAGTTTAGATTGTCCTCAAGTGAAGTTACTGAAGTGTCAGAGAGAAAAAACTTTACTCCTTATGTACGGTACACCAACAGAGGAGAGTAAAATCGGAATTCTGCACTTTATTTTTTTCATAGTTTATGTTACATGACAAAAACAGAGACATATCCATTTGATTTAGATCAGACACACTGAACTACAGCACAACAGTTTTAAAAAACTGAAACAACTAAACCAAGAATAAACTAGAACTGTGAACAGTTATTACCAGGGTCCAAGCCACTTGATGCATCTTGACCTTGGCTAATTTAATCTCCAGCTTCCTGTCAATCTTGTGTACAAAAGACTTGGAATATACTGGGGAGAAAATATAAGGTCTATATAAGGATCTAAAGTCTCAGCAGCTTATTCTGCCAATGTCTAAACATTCTTTCCATTTCTTTAAGCTGTTCAATTTTCAGGGGTGGGCAGCACGGTGGCGCAGTTCGTAGAGCTGCCGCCTCTCAGTGAGAAGGTCATCCCAGCCGGAGGACCATTCTGGGTGGAGTTTGCATGTTCTCTCCGTGCATGCGTGGGTTTTCTCCGGGTACTCAGGTTTCCTTCCAAGGACCAAAAACATGCATGTTAGGCTGATTGGTAACTCTAAATTGTCTCTAGGTGTGAGTGAGAGAGTGAATGATTGTTTGTCTCGTTTGTCTCCATGTGTCCCTGTGATGGACTGGAGACCTGTCCAGAGTGTACCTGGTGTCTCGCACAGTGACTGCTGGATATAGACACCAGTGACCTCTGTGACCCAAAAAGGAAGAAGCAGTAAAGATGACGGATGGATGGAATTTTCAGGGGTCTCCATAGAGTCATCTTCCTCCATCTCTCTCTGTCCTTTGCATCCTCTGTCCTCACTCCATCTACCTCCATGTCCTCTCTAATTGCATACATATATCTGCTCTTTGTCTGTTTCCTGGCAGCTGCATTTCTAACATCCTACCAATATACTCACTGTCCCTTCTCTGGACATGTCCAAACCATCTCAGTCTGGTCTCTCTAACTTTATCTCCCAGTTGTTCAACCTGTGCTGTACCTCTGATGATCTCATTCCTAATCTTATCCATCCTTGTCTCTCCTAAGGAGAACCTCAACATCTTCATTTCTGCCACTTCCAGTTCTTCCTCCTGTTTTTATTTATTTTTTTAATTCAGTGCCACCGATCATACTACTCTTGTAGTTTTTACTTTTGACCTTTGATGACACCCTTTTGTCACAAATCACTCCTGAAACTTTTCTCCATCCACTCCATCCTACATGAACTCTCTTCTTCATGTCTTTACCACATTCCCCATTTTCCTGGACAGTGGACCCCAAGAACTTGAAGTCCTGCACCTTTGTGACATCTGCTCCTTGTAGCCTCACTGTTCCACCAGCCTCCCTCTCATTCTCACATGTACTCTGTTTTACTAAGACTGACTTTCATTCCTCTTCTTTCAAGTGCATACCTGCACCTCTCCAAGGTCTCTTCCACCTGTTCCCTGTTCTCACCACAGATCAAAATGTCATCTGCAAACATCATAGTTCATGGAGATTCCCACCTGACCTCATCTGTTAGTCGGTCCAGCACCAGAGCAAACAAGAAGGGGCTCAGAGCTGATTCTTGATGCACTCCCACCTCCACCTGGAAGCTATCTGTCACTCCTACAGCACATCTCATCACTGTCCTGCTGTCCTCATATCTATTTATAGTTTATTTTTTTTAAATTAATAAACAAAGTGCTTTCATTATCAGTCCAGACTTTTTGGTTTTAAATATGAGACAGTTCCTTTATCTTAAGGGACAGTTGGTTACCACGGTGTGTCGTTACTTGGCGTCGTTAAATAACCCAAAAGTGAAGTCCTGCAGTCTACTAGCTCTTTTTTATGTTTGCCGATAAAAAAAATTTCAGATAATGGAGGTGGGGGGAAAAAGATAAGAGAGACACTACAAAGCTCTGCAATGAAAGTTGCTGTGTGAATTATTGTTTCAACAAATCATATTAATCATTTTCAGTGTGCTCAACCTGCAGCTTAATTGCATCAGACATGCTCACTGCAATGAAAGCTTCACAGACCAGCTGCACCTCAGAAGTAGCAGAGGCAGCAAGAAAACATACAGGAGCCAATGCATGAAAGACATAAGTGAGGAACACTTTTCTGTGATGAAGATAATAAAATGTCACTCAGATGTGCTCTCATTCACAAAGTCTGAGCTCAAACACTAATGAACTAACAACCAATTAAAGATGTTAAAGAATAAATGAAAAGATGCTGATAGAAGAAAAAAAAACACATTATATTAAATCTTCAATGGATTTCATTTAAATTTGCTCAATCAATCCCTGACAGACTCTCTCTCTCTCTTTTTGTCTCTCTCTAACACCCCCCCCCCCCCACACACACACACACACACACACTTAAAATGTATGAATTTGTTAGGAGAACACCCTGTAAACACGAACGTTCATCCATACATCCATAAATCCATTATATTTTACCTGCTTCTTCCATTTTGGGTCACAGGGGTCGCTGGTGGCCATGTCCAGCAATCACTGTGCGAGGGGCAGGGTACACCCTGGACAGGTCTCCAGTCCATCACAGGGACACATAGAGACAAACGAGACAAACAATCTATCCTGATGCATGCTCAATGCATCAACAAACAATCATTCACTCTCTCACTCACACCTAGAGACAATTTAGAGTTACCAATCAGTTTAACATGCATGTTTTTAGTCTGTGGAAGGAAACTGGAGTACCCGGAGAAAACTCACGCATGCACGGAGAGGACATGTAAACTCCACCCAGAAAGGCCCCATGACCATGATTTGAACCAGCAACCTTCTCGCTGAGAGGCAGAAGCTCTACCAGTTGCGCCACCGTGCTGTCCACAAATATCAATATATGGATAAAATTTAGAATTTCCAATTAGCGAAATTTATTTTCTTGCTCTGGGATCCAGCAAACACAAAACCAAGGATCTGTTTGTCAACAGCTACATACGTCCTTATCATATCCTGGCTTTGTTTAAGGCAATTGTATTATCTTTTTGCACGGACAGAGATCCTTCTTCTGATGATGGATTCAAAATCTTTTTTTTTTTTTGCTTTGTTTTCTTTCTTTTAGTGCATTTAATGTTGTAATCTTTGAGGAGAAGAGGAATACTTTTTTGCTGCAAAGTACATCTATTCATATGACCTTGTTTCTGTTAGTAAAACAAGGTTTACTGTTTGGGTGGAGTCCACACGTTGTCCTTTAATTATTTTTTTCTCTGGGTTTGGGTTAGGTCCAAAAATTAAACTTTAACATGGATTTAATTAAAAAAAAAAAAACAAGAATGCAAAAGTAACAGAAGAGGTAGGAGTGAGGCACCATGAGGGTCCTAGAGGTCCTCGTCTTCATCACTCTAAGATCCAACTATCAATAAACTAGGAATCTTGTTGTTAGTGACTACGGCCATCCTTTTTTGTATCTGGCTTTGTTCAAGGCCACTCATTCCTCTCTTGATAAGCTCTGGAATCCTTGGGGAATAAAGGAAACAACTTTTTATTTTTTTGCATTTTTTTCACACACCTGACCTTGTTTCTGTTGATAAAACAAGGTTGGCTGTCTGAGTAAAGAGGATCTTTATAAGCTACTACTTTGATTTATTTGTTTGAGTTTGGGTTAGGTCCAAACCAGCTATTTCACATTTCTACTGTACTGTATAGTGTATACATGTATGTACTTTCTTGTAGAGCTGTCTTTTCTAACCCGAACACGGAGCCCGGACCGACCTGGGTCATAATAATGTGCTTAATGTGTGGGTTGGGTCTGGCTTTTTATTGCGTCAGCGATGCGTGCGGCCCACAATCCAATATGTGCAAACATGGC